ACAGAGAGAGAGAGAGAGAAACTTATCTTAGGAAAGTGGCTCATATACTGATAGAAACTGGCAAGTCCAAAGTTCCTGGATCAAGCGTCAAGCTGGAGGCTTTTCCCGACTCTTGCAGCCACAGGAGCTGAGAAGCTCAAGGCTGGCAGGCAATACACCAGCTGTTGACTCCAACAAATGACAAATCCATGATCTCCAGGCCAAATGGTGGATTGTTCATTCATGGACAGTTGTAGGCAGCACAACAGAATCCCAATCCACAGAAGAGTGTCTCTTTTCTTGGAATGTCCATAGATATACTGGAAGTAGGTCACACCCCTAGAGAAACTCCCTTTCAACAGATTCTCTGCTCAAAACATAATCATCTGATTCCATCATGGGAATAACCACATTACAACAGCTTAAACCACACAGAATTGTGGTCCAGCCAAGTTGACACACAGCTCCAACAATCAGAGTGTGTAATCCACTCCTGTATGATTCTTTCCAAAGCTCAGGGCTCCAGAATTATCTTCTGTATTTCTGTCAATTTGTGTTTCTCTTCTTTATTGAAGAGGGTCTGTGTCGCTTGTCTGCCTATTCCTCCATCTTACCTGAAGTCCCTAATATGAGAAATTTTAAAACTCCTTGTTTTCTCAGGGTTCATTTATAAAACCTTACTTTAAATTTTGGATAATTTAGTAGCTATTGAAATGTTACAGAGGAAAAGTAGTATGATATAATAAAAAAAATCTATACTATATGAAATAGAGTCTTCAGTGAAACTAGTATCTGATGCTTATGGCTAGCAACTAGGATTTAATATTATTGGATGTTGTTCCTTTTGAACTATATCAAAGAAAATCACTATTGACAATTTGATTTAAGCAAGAGAGAAATGGAGACCTTTGCTATCAAACTAGGGAGAGTTTAAATGGCTAATCTGGAGAAAAGGTACACTGTGGGGCAATCATTGTTTTTAATGTCTATTTTACAACTCTATCAAGACATAAATATGGGTAACAGCAGACCAATTACATAATTGGAAACCTCTTGGGATGTGTTAGTTATGAGATGATAATTCACGGGCTTTAGAAGAGGATATAGTAAAAGTCCCGTGAGAGAATAAAAGGCATAAAAGAGAGAGATCAAATGCTCTTTCTTGATGCATTTCTTCTGGATGATTAGGTTATCCAACTTCCTTTGGATACCTCTAGATATTCCAGGATGATAAATGATTCAATTTAGTCTCTTCTTCTTCACTCTCAAGGCAGTCAAAGGCTGATAACATGCTTACCTTCAGGAATGAGAAAATCACTTCAAAAGTTCCCTTGTCTGACAGAGAAATGAAAGGAGCACTGCTCTGAATGGCATTAAATAATCTGGATCTGCACTCCAAGTGACAGTGGGAGGGACCTGGGAATAGCTGAGAGTTCTTATGAACTGAACCCTCACCCTCCAAAGAGAACTCCAAAGGCCTGGTTCTGTTAGCTTCTCCTCCTACCGAAATATCAAATGAGGGCTTTCCCAGACTAGAAGCGAGGGCCTTACCTGTGGTGTCCTCCCCCATTCCTTCTGCAGCCTCTCGGAACTTAATGTCCATCACCCTTGTGGAAATCATGTCCAGCTCACTAAAATAAGATGGAAATTCATGTTAAAGGAACATGTTTAGAAAAAGTTAAAATCAGTGAGGTGGTTGTGGTGACTGCTTTTTTCCCATAACCTCATTTGCACACTACTCAACAAAGAGTCCAGGGCAGGGTGCAGGGCAGGGTGGGCCAAAAATATGCCTATGGCCTAAGACAGGCAGCCACATAAACTTTTTTTTTTCATTTTAATTAATGGATTCACTATTTATTGAGTTTCCATAATGTTGCAAGCAGTCTTATATGAACTGGGGATATGGGAAGAAAGAGAAACTGAGGCACAAACAGTTTAAATACCTGCTCAGCTGGTAATTAAAGAAGCCAGGATCGGCAGCCAAGCCAACTGGCTCAATAACCTATGTTCCTAACCACAATACAACACTGTCCCCCTGCCTCTCTAATAGGCACTCAAAGTACTTTACATACATATTGTTGTTGTTATTGTTGTTATGTGCCATCAAGTCGGACCCAACTCATAGCGACCCCTCCTTGGGTTTCCGAGGTAGTATCACTATGGAAGTAGATTGCCCATCTTCCTTCCGAGGAGTGGCTGGTGGGTTTGAACTGCCAGCCTTTTGGTTAGCAGTCAAGTGCCTTAGCCACTATGCTACCAGAGCTCCCTACTCCATTCATATCTCACTACAGACCTATAAAGGAAATATCATCCTAATACACATTGTTGAGGTAAGAAAACAGAGGTTACATAACTTTCCCAAGGACACATATTTGAAAAAAAGCAAAACCAAAATTTTAGTTAAAAAAAAGTCTGATTTCAGAGCCCAGATCTAATTCATTATATTATGTTTAATATTTAGAGACATTTTAGAGAAATTTTGGAAAACACGTAAAGAAGAAAAAGCTTCTACCCAGAAATAATTCTTGTCAATATTTTATCACATTTCCTTACAATACTATTTTTACATAATTGAAAATTAAATATACACAATTTTAGAGAAAGGCCACATAAATGTTTATCTGATGGCTGATGGGAGCAATGTAAATGGAAAACAGCTAACTGAAACAAATGCTTCACCAATTCACAAAATATAGATGTGGTTACTTTCTATAAATAAAGGTTCTCCAATTATAAGAAAATTATTATGCTTTCTTTTGTTCATTGTACAAAGTTTAGAGAACAAAAAGACTGAAAACTACCTACCAATCAAGGACAACTACAGTTAACATTTCCATCTATTTCTGTCCAATATTTTTTCTATTAAGTATTTGTATATACATGCACACACACTATATTATAGAGCTTGGCTTCCTGATTTTCTTACTTGTAATATACCATGTTATTAAAATTCTTCATAAATGTTATTATAATGGTTGCAAGAAATATTAAAATACAGCTGCATCATCATTTATGTTTATTAAGTTTCTTTTTCAAACTTTTTATTATGAAAAATTTCACACCAAAACAAAAATAGAATACATAAAACTTAAAGGTCACTCTTGTTTCATCTTTATCCCTAGTCCCTCTCTCTGCCACTATTAGATTGTTTTAAAGCAAATTATCCAAATTGTTATCTCTTAACTCTGGTGGCATAGTGCCTAAGGCATTTGACTGCCAACCAGAAGGCTGGTGGTTCAAACCCACCAGCCACTCCTCAGAAGGAAGGTTGGGCAACCTACTTCCATAGTGATACCACCTTGGAAAACCAAGGAGGTGTCACTATGAGTTGGATCTCAATGGCAGTGAGCTTTTTTTGTGTTTAATCCATATGGATTTGGTTTCTTCCTAAGTAAAAAATCTGACTCTTCATGGTGTCCCCCAGGCTCAATTGGCACAACATATTACATAAAAATCTTGTTCCACAACGTATTTTGGTGAGTAGTGACTGGGGTCTTAAAAGCTTTCAAGCAGCCATCTAAGATGCAGCTAATGGTCTTCTCTAGTCTGAAGCGAAGAAGAGTGAAGAAAATCAAGGGCATTTGGAAACAAGTAGTCCAAGGATATGATGGACCTTGAGACCAGAAGAACTAGATGGTGCCTGGCTACCAACGCCAACCATTCAGGAAAGGAGCAAAACTGGAGATCCTGGATAGAGTGGGAGGAAAAACATGGAAAAAAATTAAAAAACACAATAATGACCAGAATTACTGGTCAGATGGAGTCTGGTGGTACCCCCCCCCCAAGACTATGGCCCTGAGGTATACTTTGGGCCTGGGATAGGACTCACTCCCAAGGACTGGCTCTCAGCCTAACAACAGAAAGACTTACATGGCAGAACACTCAACCCAGGGCGATGTACCCACTTACTCTATGGGGATACACCCCTTGGAGCAATTGGCCATGGGGCACCAGAGGGGCAGCATTCACATGGAGGGAAAGTTAGACAGACAGGAGTGCACAGTTAAGAAGGACACAGGGTGGGAGGTCACAGGGAAGGGATGGAAGGAGAGTGGGTTAGAGTTAGAGACGGTAATCAGGGTGTGAAACCAAATAGGCATGAACTGTTGAATGTAAAACAAATTCTGCTCTGTAAATTTGCACCCAAAGCACAATTAAAAAAAAAAAAATTGCTAGTGTCCCCATCCTCAATAGCTGATTTTATAAATGATGCATCCTGTTCCATAAGCACTAACGCCATCATTTATTTTGAAAACTATTTCTTACTGGAAGTTACTATGAATCTCAACTAGTTGATCAGTTAACATTTACCACTTGCACACAGCACATAAAGGCAAATGATGGGAGAAATACAAAGAAAAAGTTAATAGAGAAAAGGACTCATAAGTCTGTGCCAGAGTTGGGTCTAACATTAATTTCAAAAAGCCCATCCTCCCTACTAGCCAACTCCTTAAAAGCTGAAAAAGCTTCAGCAGCTTTAATTCTCAATTTCCAGATGACTTGGCTTCATAAAAATGGCTGGTTTTGTGTCAACTCTGCCAAAAAATCTATTCTGGAATTTTACCAAGTTATTTTATCCATGATCATGGGTAAATGCAAAAAATGAAGGTTGGACTTGAAACAGTATTTTTCAAATCCTTGGCCATGGTTTTAAAACGTGAACATCCTTGCATTCATTATCTGTGGTAATCATCTAAGTAACAGAAGACATTGTCAAAGGACAGAAGATTTACAACAGTTGTAAGCAGGGAAATAAAATAACACACAGGTGATAACACAACTGGAATTCCCAGGTGTTCAAAAAGGTCAAGTCCCGTGGTCCTCAACATGCATCAGTGTTAGTCAGCAAGGTCCTGACCCCTAAGTGTCCTGCTGTTCAATGTATTATCCTCATCGTATTATGAGGGAGTCAAGGGAGGGTGGCTACAAGGGCATTTAAAGGAAGATACAGTAGAGAAGGAAAACATACGGAGCAAGAAAATGATGAGGGTTCAAGAAGTCACCCATTATTACTGTGGGTATCATTTCCTAGGGTTGGCATTGAGCTAGAAAGTTGAAGAGCAAGAGCTTTCCATTGCTTGAATTTAGAGTTAACTACCACAATTACAATTGCTTCCCAAGCACATAGTATATCATCTGAATGATCTCATTTAATCCCCAAGAACTCTTAGTATTCCCATTTTGGAGATGAGAACATTGAATATTGCTGCTGTGGTTGTTAGCTGCCCCACTGAGTTGATTCTGACTCATAGCAACCTTACAGAATGAAATATTGCTTTGTACCTGTGCCATCTTCATAGGTAAATTTATTAACTTAGCCAAAGTAGCAAAGTGTCACCTACTTTGGTCATGTTGTCAGGAGGAACCATTCCCTGGAGAAGGATATCATGCTTGGCAAGGTGGAGGGTCAACGAAAAAGGGGAAGGCCCTCAACAAGATGGAATGACATGGTGGCTGTAATGATGGGCTCAAGTATAGCAAGGATCATGAGGCTGGCACAGGACATGGCAGTGTTTTGTTCTGCTGTGCATAGGGTCGCTATGCGTTGGAGACTTAACAACACAACAATGGAGCCAAGCAGAGACATCGACCTATATACTCATGCTGACTGTGTGCCAGGCTTGGGTAGGCACTTTTGAGATGCTGGGGATACAGTAATAAAAGACACTGGCGTGGTCCTCACTTTTTGCAAGCGGTGACCCAGTGAAGGGGAGAGTTCAAGTTATCTGCAGAGGAGCTCAAAGGAAACTGGGTATTCAAAAGAGAAAGTCTCCCACTGAAATGGCTCTGTCTGCCAAAGAGCCCCTTCCCAGGGTCAGGCCAGGGTCTAGAGGCTGAAGGAGCCTCAGGAGACCAATATAGAGGAAATTGCTGGATTGAGAGAAGGGCTTTTGAGGCTACTCTAATGTTCTAACTCATTGTAGAACTCCAGAGAAACTACAATGTCACTTTCAAAATGTACAGTGACCTCTTGCTAATAAAATGCTGCTTAGTGGAAAGTGCTGAGAACGTGCAGGTGTGTGTGACAGAGTGTGTGGCCAAGCAGAAGGCAAGTCCTTATTGGTGAGTGTGTTTAGGAGCATCCCATCCAATCAAGCCTGGAGTCGATCAAGAAGCTCAGATTCCCTTCTCTGGCTTGAATGATGCAGCTATGATAAAGCTATACAGGGCAGATGGCTCAGGACCATGGGAGGTTATCCAAGAGGATAGCTCAGTCCTAATCTTGATGTAAGGTACAGCCTAGCAGGACCTTCTGTTCAACCTGCTATGACAGCAGGCAGATGTGGAGAGCACCAGGCCTGTTTAAAGGACTCACAATACAGAGTCAAAAGTTGCCTCACTGATAAAGGTAAAATAAATCAGGCTTGTTTCATGTAGGTTTTTTTTTTTTTTTTTTTAACTCCTCATGTTTTATGTTCCAAATATCTTCATACTAATAAAATTATATAGTATGGTACAAAAGGAAAAAGAGCTGAGCCATGGAAGTTAGGCAATTCTGGGACTGAATCTTCATTCATTACCAGCTCTGGGACTCAGTTTCCTCGTATGTAAAATGGGACTAACAACACTTTGATTAAATGCAACCTAGAAATGAGTACATAGCAAGCCCTATGCTTAGAA